GTAGCATCATGGATATGGGTTCCGTTGTGGCCAAGACCGTGGTGCTCCTCTGAGTCCTCATGGCTGTCATCATGATCACCATCGTGCCCCTCTCCGTGATGCTCATCACTGTCGTGATGTTCCGTAGCGTTATGGGTATGGGTTCCGTTGTGGCCAAGACCGTGGTGCTCCCCTTCGTCCTCATGGCTGTCATCATAGTCCTGATCACCATGGTGCCCCTCGTCGTCATCATCGTGCTCATGGCTGTCATCATAGTCCTGATCACCATGGTGCCCCTCTCCGTGATGCTCATCACTGTCGTGATCTTTCGTAGCGTTATGGATATGGGTTCCGTTGTGGCCAAGACCGTGGTGCTCCCTTCGTCCTCATGGCGTCATCATAGTCCTGATCATGGTGCCCTCGTCGTCATCATCGTGCTCATGGCTGTCATCATAGTCCTGATCACCATGGTGCCCCTCCGTGATGCTCATCACTGTCGTGATGTTCCGTAGCGTTATAGATATGGGTTCCGTTGTGGCCAAGACCGTGGTGCTCCCCTTCGTGATCATCGCTGTCATCATGGTGCCCCTCGTCGTCATCATCGTGCTCATGGCTGTCATCATAGTCCTGATCATGATGCTCCTCTTCGTGCCAATGGGTTTCATTATGTTCATGCATATCCCTATTAGACGAAAAAGAAAGAAAAAAAGACATATATTGGAAACTTTCAAGAGCTTTAATGCCATATACTTATTCTCTCTTTTTCTCTTACTATCTCTCTCTTTCCATGTACCTCCCTCTATGTAGCTATCCATCAAACTTTTATCCCTTTCTCCCCTCGTCCCTTCTTCCCTCCCTCATCACCCTTCTCTGACTTCCATCCTCCCTCTTTCCTTACCTCTTAATTCGAGCAAGGGCTGTTCCTTTGCCTCCCTAGCAGCTCGGAGGGCAGAGCCATGCCTCCCTGGGGCAGAGAAGCCGTAAGTTGCCCCCATCACAACCACGAGAACAGTTGTTGCAATGACAGTTCTGTGATGCAATAACATAGCTGGTTATTTTAGCGGTAATGATGTCATAGTGATGATAATGATGATTGTCATGGAGCAATAAAAAATAGTCATATTACCAGATGGTCGATAATAGTAGTATAGAATACAAAGTCATGATGCTATGATATACCAATGAATATGATATAAAAAAACATATACATATATATGTACATACTACATACATGAACACACTCACATATATATGTATATAATACATTTGTATACATATAATACACATATATATATAAATATATATATATATAATTAATATAAATATATATATATATAGATATATATATATATATATATATATATATATAATATATATATATATTGTTCACTGTTCAATTATGCTTATACCTGTGACTCGTACTGTTGTTATGATGTATTAAGTCTCATAAAGTATATGATACTGATTAACAGCCCAATGACTTGAATGTAATGACAAATATAGATCAGTGAAAAGAAATCACTTGAAGCAAAATTACTCTTACGTTATTTGGAGGATAAAATGCACACATGTACAGTATTATACATGCACATGTGAATATACATGTGCAGTATCCATATATATGTATGTACAACTGTTTTGTGTGTGCATTACGTATACACACACAACCAAGCAACACACGCAGAGGCACACACACACACACACACACACACACACACACACACACACACACACACACATATATATATATATATATTGTAAAATCAGTCACATAACTGGACTCAGGACTCCCCGCCTTCTGGACCAAGTATCTTTGAGTGCCATTTAAACGCTATTTGTCTAAATCTACATCACTATTGCATCCAAACTTTAATCATATAAAAATAACTTCCCGCAAATTCATGTCTATCTCATATAAATCACCTGAATACTAGAGACAGAAATCTTACTCTGATCGACATAAATCACTTAGTTTTCAACGTGGGTTTGAGGTTTACTTTAACACTGATATACTAAATTCACCCAAGTTTTGAATCGCAAACTTAAGTCTAGGATCTCTTGAAACTTACTTCATGCTGGCGATCCAACTTCGGAAGAATGAATGGGAGAGGGAGACAATGCGACTTTTATAACACCTCATGTGCTTTTCAATAGAAATCTAAAAATAGCGATCGCGTGGGCGTGGTTTTCTTAATAATTTTATTCTTTTTTTTTTTTTTTTTTACATGGTTTTGAAATATCGCTCGCAAGGTTTATGCACGTACACCTTAACTTATAGGAATAAATTGGAATGTGTGTATATTCATTTTTACATTATATATATGTGTGTGCGTAAATATGCATATATATATATATTATATATATATATATATATATATAATATATATATATATATATATTATTTTTATATATATATATGCATATATATATATATATATATATTATATATATATATATATATATTTATTATATTATTTTATGTGTGTGTGTGTAAATATACAGATATATATATATTCATTTATTTATGCAAACATATTCATATATATTACAATATATACATATGTTACATATATATGTTGTGTATATATGTGTGTTATATATAAAGATAGATAGAATGATAGGTAGGTAGATAGATATTTTCATGTATAATTACATATATACAGAAATATATATTTATATATATAGATATATTTTGATTAGATGTTTATAATATGTTTATATATGTATATATATATGCACACAAATGTACAAATGAGTATGAACATATACCTATATCATATGTATTAATTCATATATATATATATATATATATATATATATATATATATGTATGTATGTATGTATGTATATATATATATTATTTATGTATATTATATATATATTATATGTATATATACTCACGCACACACATATGCGAGTGTGTGATTCTCCTCTTATTGATCATGTGGCAAATATCTATCTTATGAGGAATGCTGCCTTTGTCGCTGAGTAATGTACAAGGTGGACGAGCCAAGAAAAAAAACTTCTTTATTTATTTTAGATAATTTGTAAAATACGTCAAGGTATTATGATGGATTATCACATGTCAGGAACAGTAATTACTCTTTGAAGAAGACGAAAAAGAAGAAGAAAAAAACGGAAAAAAATAACTGTTTGCTGACGTGTTATGGTATGGATGGTGTAAGAATCAAAAATGATTCTCGCATGTGAAGTGATCAGGGTAAGGTCTAGAGAAGGGCTGTCAACCTCATTTATCCCAGGGAGCCACATTTTGCCATAGTATACAGTATGTTGGACCGATAATCATGAATCGACGCAATGGAACGGCCATGTGGTTGACGTAGAATCATCGGAGGCATTTCATTCATTAAAAAAGGAAAACATAGTAACAGAGAGAGAGAGAGAGGGGGGGGGGGAATGGTGTGATAATTTTAATCGAAGGAAAGGCTTAATTAATGATGTAAAACACCCGATTTAAAAACTGAAATAGCCAATGCGCCGCACAAAGAAGAATTGCGACACATGGTGTTCTCTTGACCTTGCCTTTTGACCTTTTGTGTGTGTGTATACATATGTATGTGTGTGTGTGTGCATGCTATGTATTTGTATATATACAGATATATATGATGTATATGTTATGATTATTATCAACATTTTTGTTATGATTATTTCATTATAGTTTTTATTTTTCATTTTCATCATCATTTTCATTTCATCATTTTCATTTTATTTGTTATGCTATTATTATCATCCTTATTGTAATAATTACCATTATCAGTTTTTACTTTTTATCATTACTTCGATTATAATTATCATTGTTATTATTATTATCATTATGATATTCTTCATGTCATGGTTATCATTATTGATTATTAATATCATCATTATCATTTCCCTACTATTTTTTAATTAACATCAAATATTTATCATCAATGTTATAATTATCATCATAAACATGATCATCATCATTTTCATTTTATGAACATCATTGTTATTATTCTTATCATTGTCATCATTATTTATTTCTTAATTTTATGATTGTTACCGTTGCGGTTATAATTATCAATATCATATACCTAATCGTGTTATTTTATTACTATCTTTATTCTTATTATTATCGTTAAAGTTACCATTATCATCATTATCATCATTATCGTCATTTTCATTTTATAACATTATTGTTATTTTCATCATAATTGCTGCTATCTTTATTTGTTATCATGATTACCACTGTTGTTGTCTGTTGTATTATTGTTTATGTATATGAATATATTCATTTATATATGCATCAATGTATGTATCAATGTATATCTTATTACACACACACACACATATATATATGTAATATATATATTATATATATATATATATATATATATATATATATATATATATATATATATATATATATATATATATATATATATATATATATATATATAATATATATATATATATAATATATATATATATATATTATATAGAAGAGAGAGAGAGAGAGAGAGAGAGAGAGAGGAGAGAGATATAATATATACATATTATATGATATATATATATATATATATATATATATATATATATATATATAACATATGTGTGTGTGTGTTGTGTGTAAATGTATGTATAAATACACACACTTATTTATTTATTTATATGTATATATATTATAAAATATATTGTATATATATACATTGTATATATATATATAATATATATATATATATATATATATATATATATATGTATATATATAGTTATATACATATATATATGTAATATATACGTATATATATGTATATATATACATATATATATACACACATATGTATACAGACATATACATGCATATATATAGGTATATATATATATATATATATATATATATATATATATATATATATATATATTTATGTATATGCACACACACACACACACACACACACACACACACACACACACACACACACACACACACACACACACACACACAACACACACATATATATATATATATATATATATATATATATATATATATATATATATATATATATATATTATATTATATATATATTGTATATATAAGCCGACATATCTGTGTTCATGTATGTATGTATATATATATGTATACTATATATATATATATATATATATATATATATATATATATACATAACATGTGTGTGTGTGTGTTTGTGTGTCCATGTGGGTGTGTATGTTTATATGTATGGATGTCTATATACATATATCTATCTATCTATATATATATATTTATATATATGAATGTATGTATGTATGCATGTATACGTCTTTGTCTGTATGGTTGTACATGTGTATTCATACACATAGCCAATGTTTTATGAATTGTTGATTATATGAACCTTCTTCTCTTGATAACACTTAAGCGCATGTTTGTTACTAGACATGATATGGAATAATTGTTATGACTATAAATGACATATAAATATATTCCTGTTGTATATACCCTTAAATAATACTCGACATTGTCGTTGAATTTTACCACGAATTGAAGATGTGTGTTTTTTTAAGTTAACACCCCTCTCCCTTAAAAGAGTGTATGTGTAACTCTCCTCTCTACTATACTTAAGAACAGCGTACTCGTTATGACGGTTGTGAACTACTGAACAGTGTGTATTAATGCAATACAGGAGAATCCTTAGAGATAGGGAACTGAGAAGGGTCTGCTTGTGTCTGAACTAGTATTTGCAGCATCAGGATTGCAGTAGGGTTCACCAATGGGCAAGCAATATGCAAACTGAATTGGCATATTGGAGTCTCTGAGTGTGAGCCTGCTGTCCGTGTATTATTTCATTCCAATTCCCATTCTCACTCCCATTCCACATTCCCATTCCCCAGTCGCTATCCGCCAAGGCCAGCAAATGAGCTCAATGTGGGCATGTAGCTTGGAATACACCAAGCTAGGATGTCTCACTAAGCCTTCCCTACGGAGGAATTCACAGATATAAGACATCAGTCTATTGTTTGAGTTAGTCGAGGAATAAATGAAGGACTATTTGTTTGCTTCCTCTTAACTGAAACATTAGAGGATATGGTCATGTCACTGGGCTAGCCAGAGTAGTAAAATAAAGGATTAAACTTAACGAAAACTGGATGTGCATTCATCAACTTTATTCAACCCTATTTTACAATACAGCAGTTGTATTACATAGTGCCCAAGCACAGTAAGGATTATGCCGCTAATTTTGAATCAAAGTTTATATGCTACTTATACAATTAAATAAGTGAAGTGAGAAGTAAACATATTTAGGTGTTAGTTAATCCTGAATTCATTTTCCTTATCTTATCATTTTCTTATCATTATACATTTATATCATAAGATTATCTTGCCAATGCCTTTTTCTTCTTATTCTATATAATATGACAATTTGATGCTATCGTTAGTTTCACCATTGTCATCCATATAATAACATTTATCTGTTAGCATTTGCAAATGTATACAGCATACAGTATATCAGAGTGTAATATCAGATCAGTAATCTTTCTCGCTGTCGTTGTCACCTTCCCCATCGTCCTTATTGTCGCCAAAACAGTCTTGGGTCAATGGCGATAGGGACAGTAGAATGACCATGGTGATGCTCATGACCGTCATGATCTTCCGTAGCGTCATGGATATGGGTTCCTTTGTGGCCATGACCGTGGTGCTCCTCTTCGTGTCCATAGCTGTTATCGTCCCTGTTAGAAAAAAAGGAAAAAAAAAAATATTGGGAACATTCAAGAGCTCTTTTTCTCTTACTCTCTCTTTCTACGTGTCCCCCTCTCTCTATGTAGCTCTCCCTCTCTCCCTCCCTCATCACCCTTCTATGACTCTTCCACTCTCTCTCGTCACCCTTTCTCTGACTCTCCCAACCTCCCTCATCACCCTTCTCTGACTCTTCCACTCTCTCTCTTCCCTTACCTCTTAATTCGAGCAAGGGGCTGTTCCTTTGCCTCCCTAGCAGCTCGGAGGGCAGAGCCATGCCTCCCTGGGGCAGAGAAGCCGTAAGTTGCCCCCATCACAACCACGAGAACAGTTGTTGCAATGACAGTTCTGTGATGCAATAACATAGCTGGTTTATTTTGGCGGTAATGATGTGATAATGATGCTGATTGCATGGAACAATAAGAATAGTCATATACCAGATGGTCGATAATAGTAGTTAGAATAACAAGTAATAACTCATGATGCTATGATATACCAATGAAAATGATATAAAAAACATACACATATATATGTACATACTACATACATGAACACACTCACATATATATGTATGTATATACATTTGTATACATGTATACACACACACACACAAAAAAAATATATATATGAATTAACATAAATATATATAGTATATGATATATATATATATATAATATTTATAATATATATCATGCATATATTGTAGAGTCACTGTTCAATTATGCTTATACCTGTGACTCGTACTGTTGTTATGATGTATTAAGTCTCATAAAGTATATGATACTGATTAACAGCCTAATGACTTGAATGTAATGACGAATATAGATCAGTGAAATCACTTGAAGCAAAATTACTCTTACGTTATTTGGAGGATAAAATGCACACATGTACAGTATTATACATGCACATGTGAATATACATGTGCAGTATCCATATATATGTATGTACAACTGCTTTGTGCGTGTGCATTTACGTATACACACACAAAACAACCAAGCAAACACACGCAGACACACACACACACACACACACACACACACACACACACACGCAGACACACACACACACACACACACACACACACACACAACACACACATATATATATATAATATATATATATATATAATATTATATATTTATAAAATCAGTCTTACTGGAAAAAAATCAACTGTCAGGACTCCCCGCATTCTAGACCAAGTATCTCTGAGTGCCATTTAAACGCTCTTTGTCTAAATCTACATCAGTATTGCATCCAAACTTTAATCATATAAAATAACTTCCCGCAAATTCATGTCTATCTCATATAAATTGCCTGAATACTAGAGATCGACATAAATACATTAGTTTTCACACGTGGGTTTGAGGTTTACTTTAACACTTATATACTAAATTCACCCAAGTTTTGAATCGCAAACTTTAATTCTAGGATCTCTTGAAACTTACTTCATGCTGGCGATCCAACTTCGGAAGAATGAGCGGGAGAGGAGACAGTGCGACTTTTATAAGACCTCAGATGCTTTTATAACACCTCGTGTGCTTTTATAACACCTCATGGGCGTGGTTTTCTGAATCATTTTATTCTTATTTTCTGACAAACGGTTTTGCAATATCGCTCGCAAGTTTTATGAACGCACACATGTACGTATATGAATAAATGGGAATGTGTGTGTATTCATTTTTATATTACATATATGTGTGTAAATATACATATGTATATTCATTTATTTATGCAAACATATTTATATATGTATATATACATATATACATATGTATTTACATATATTGCTTGTGTGTTGTGTGTGTGTTATATATATAGAGAGAGATAGAAGGATAGGGAGGTAGATAGATATCTATATATGTTATATACATACACATATATATCTATCTATCTATCTATCTATCTATATATATATATATATATATATATATATATATATATATATTTGATTAAATGTTTATAATATAAATGTGTACATATATGTATGTACATACAAATAAATATAATCATATATGTATATATATAATAATTTATGTATATATACACACACAAATGTACAAATCAGTATAAGCATATACTTATATTTTCATATACATTAATTCATATATCTATATATTTGTTTAATTATTTATTTATTTATTTATGTATATATACTCACGCGCACACATAAGCGAGTGTGTGATTCTCCTCTTATTGATCATGTGGCAAATATCTCTCATATGTCACCAACTGTTAAAATGCTTCGCCACAACTATATGATCAGTAAGTTGGATATACTGTAACTCCCTCTATTATGCTTTGCCAAATCATCATCTAAGGAGCTGCAAAATGTCATGAATAGAGTAGCAAGAATTAGAAAAGGCCAAACTCCACGCGAGAAGATAACGCCAGAAAGCACTGCTGTACGATGGTTGAGGCAAGAATTGTCGATAAGATTTACCTTCTGACTTTCCAAGCTCTGAGATTTAGGAAAGCAGGGTGTGTGGGCTGCCTGTCGAGAGATTATCATGGAAATACTCCTATGGGATTTAGACACAGTGCTGAGTAATGTACAAGGTGGACGAGCCAAGAAAAAAAAACTTCATTATTTATTTTAGATAATTTGTAAAGCATCAAGGTATTATGATGGGCTATCACATGTCAGGAACAGTAATTACTCTTTGAAGAAGAAGAAGAAAGAAGAAGAAGAAAAAAAAAAAAACGGAAAGAAAAAAATAACTGTTTGCTGACACGTTATGGTATGGATGGTGTAAGAATCAAAAATGATTCTCGCATGTGAAGTGATCAGGGTAAGGTCTAGAGAAGGGCTGTCAACCACATTATTCCCAGGAGCACATTTTGCCATAGTATACAGTATGTTGGACAGATAATCATGAATCGACGCAATGGAACGGCCATGTGGTTGACGTAAAAACATCGGAGGCATTTCATTCATTAAAAAAAGGAAAACACAGTAACAAAGAGACAGAGAGAGAAATGGTGTGTGATAATTTTAATCGAAGGAAAGGCTTAATTAATCATGTAAAACACCCGATTTGAAAACTGAAATAGCAAATGCGCCGCACAAAGAAGTGGTGTAGAATTCTCTTGACGTTAGCTCTTGACCTTTTTATGTGTATATACATGTGTGTGTGTGAGTATGCATACTATAATATTTGTGTATATATACATATAAATATGATATATATGTTATGATTATTATCAGCATTTTTGTTATTTAATTTTCATTTCTATTTTTCATTTTCATTATCATTATTCTTATCATTTTCATTTTATTTGTTAATGCTATTATTATCATCCTTGTTATAATCATCACCATTATTAGTTTTTACTTTTTATCATTACTTCTATTGTTATTGTTATTGTTATCTTGATTATCATTATGATATTCTTGATATTATGGTTATCATTATTGATATGGTGATATCATCATTATCATTAACCCTACTTTTTTCATTAATATCATCAATATTGTTATCATCATTGTTTTAATTATCATCATCATTTTCATTTTACGAACATTGATATTATTCTTATCATTATCAACATTATTGTTTCTTAATTATGATACCGTTGCTGTTATTATTACAAATATATACCTAATCGTCGTGGTTTTGGTTAATTATTCTTAATGATATTTATTATTAAACCCATTATTATCATTATCATCACTATCGTCATTTTCATTTTATAACATTATTGTTATTTTCATCATAATTACTGCTATTTTTATTTGTTATCATGATTACCACTGTTGCTGTCTGTTGCATTATTGTTTATGTATATGTATATATGCATTTATATATGTATCAATGCATGTATCAATGTATATATTATTACATACACACACATATATGTATATGTATATATATATATATATATATATATATATATATATATATATATATATATATATATATTAGTCGAGGAATAAAAGAAGGATTATTTGTTTGCTTCCTCTTAACTGAAACATTAGAGGATATAAGCATGTCACTGGGGTAGCCAGAATAGAAAAAATAGAGGCTAAACTTAACGAAAACTGATGTGCATTCATCAACTTTATTCAACCCTCTTTTACAATACAGCAGTTGTATTGCATAGTGCCCAAGCACAGTAAGGATTATGCCGCTAATTTTGAATCAAAAGTTTATATGCTACCTATACAATTAAATAAGTGAAGTGAGAAGTAAACATATTTAGGTGTTAGTTAATCCTGAATTCATTTTCCTTATCTTATCATTTTCTTATCATAACATTTATATCATAAGATTATCTTGCCAATGCCTTTTTCTTCTTATTCTATATAATATGACAATTTGATGCTATCATTATTTTCACCATTGTCATCCATATAATATCATTTATCTGTTAGCATTTGCAAATGTATACAGCATACAATATATCAGAGTGTAATATCAGATCAGTAATCTTTCTCGCTGTCGTTGTCACCTTCCCCATCGTGGTGCTCCTCTGAGTCCCTCATGGCTGTCCATCATATCTGATCACCATGGGCCCTCGTCGTCATCATCCGTGCCATCGGCTGTCATCAATCTTGCTCATGGCTGTCATCATAGTCCTGATCACCATGGTGCCCTCTCATCATCATCATTGCCATGGCTGTCATCAAGTCCTGATCACCATGTGCTGTCGTCATCATCGTGCTCATGGCTGTCATCATCGTGCTCATGGCTGTCATCATAGTCCTGATCACCATGGTTGCCCTCTCGTCCTTGCTCATTTTCATCATTAGTGCTCATGGCTGTCATCATCGTGCTCATGGCTGTCATCATAGTCCTGATCATGATGCTCCTCTTCGTGATGCTCATCACTGTCGTGATCTTTTCGTAGCGTTAAAGATATGGGTTCCGTTGTGGCCAAGACCGTGGTGCTCCCCTTCGGATCATCGTGCTCATGGCTGTCATCATCGTGCTCATGGCTGTCATCATAGTCCTGATCATGATGCTCCTCTTCGTGATGCTCATCACTCGTTGATCTCTTTCGTAGCGTTAAATATGGGTTCCGTTGTGGCCAAGACCGTGGTGCTCCCCTTCGTGATCATCGTGCTCATGGCTGTCATCATCGTGCTCATGGATCATGATCTCCTCTCTGGAGCTCATCACTTCGTGATCTTTCGTAGCGTTATGGAATGGGTTCCGTTGTGGCCAAGACCGTGGTGCTCCCCTTCGTGATCATCGTGCTCATGCTGTCCATGTGCTGTTCATCATAGCTGATCTGATGCCCTCTTCGTGATGCTCATCACTGTCGTGATCTTTCGTAGCGTTATGGATATGGGTTCCGTTGTGGCCAAGACCGTGGTGCTCCCCTTCGTGATCATCGCTGTCATCATGGTGCCCCTCGTCGTCATCATCGTGCTCATGGCTGTCATCATAGTCCTGATCATGATGCTCCTCTTCGTGCCAATGGGTTTCATTATGTTCATGCATATCCCTATTAGACGAAAAAGAAAGAAAAAAAAAGATATTATATATATATATAATAATATTATATATATATATATATATATATATTATATATATTGGGAACTTTCAAGAGCTTTAATGCCATATACTTATTCTCTCCTTTTCTCGTACTATCTCTCTCTTTCCATGTGCCTCCCTCTATGTAGCTATCCATCAAACTTTTATCCCTTTCTCCCCCCGTCCCTTCTTCCCTCCCTCATCACCCTTCTCTGACTTCCATCCTCTCTCTTTCCTTACCTCTTAATTCGAGCAAGGGGCTGTTCCTTTGCCTCCCTAGCAGCTCGGAGGCAGAGCATGCCTCCCTGGGGCACAAAGCCGTAAGGTTTGCCCCATCACAACACGGAACAGTTGTTGCAATGACAGTTCTGTGATGCAAATAACATAGCTGGTTATTTTAGCGGTAATGATGTCAATAGTTATGATAATGATGATTGCCATGAAACAATAAAATATATTTCATATTACCAGATGGTCGATAATAGTAGTGTAGAATAACAAGTAATAACTCATGATGTTATGATATACCAGTGAATATGATATAAAAAAACATAACATATATAGTACATACTACACACCATGACCACACTCATCATATATAATGTAATATATATACATTTGTATACATGTATACACAATATTATATATATATATATATATATATATATATATATATGAATTAACATAAATATATATAGTATATGATATATATATATATATGTATATATATCATGCAATATATTGTAGAATCACTGTTCAATTATGCTATTACCTGTGACTCGTACTGTTAATATCATGTATTGTCTCATAAAGTATATGATACTGATTAACAGCCTAAATGACTTGAATGTAATGACATATAGATCAGTGTAAGAGAAATCACTTGAAGCAAAATTACCTTTACGTTATTTGGAGGATAAAATGCACACCATGTACAGTATATACATGCACATGTGATTATACATGTGCAGTATCCAATATATACGTATGTACAACTGCTTTGTGCGTGTGCATTTACATACACACACACAACAACCCAAGCAACACACGCAGACACACACACACACACACACACATCAATATAATATATAATATATATATATATATATTATTATATTATATATATATTGTTATAAAATCAGTCTTCATAACTGGAAAAAATCAACTGTCAGGACTCCCCGCATTCTAGACCAAGATCTCTGAGTGCCATTTTAAACGCTCTTGTCTAAATCTACATCAGTATTGCATCCAAACTTAATTTTCATATTAAAATAACTTCCCGCAAATTCATGTCTATCTCATATAAATTACCTGCAATACTAGAGATCGACATAAATACATTAGTTTTCACACGTGGGTTTGAGGTTTACTTTTAACACTGATATTACTAAATTCACCCAAGTTTTGATTGCAAACTTTTTAAGTCTAGGATCTCTTGAAACTTACTTCATGCTGGCGATCAACTTCGGAGAAGAATGAGCGGGAGAGGGAGACAATGCGACTTTTAATAAAGACCTCAGATGCTTTTATAACACCTCATGTGCTTTTATAAACAACCTCATGGGCGTTTTTCTGAATCATTTATTCTTATTTTCTGACAAACGGTTTTGCAATATCGCTCGCAAGTTTTATATGCACGTACACATGAACGTATATGAATAAATGGGAATGTGTGGTATTCATTTTTAATTACATATATGTGTGTAAAAATACATATGTATATTCATTTATTTATGCCAAACATTTTAATATATGTATATTACATATATACATATGTATTTACATATATATATGCTTGTGTGTATGTGTGTGTTATATTATAGGAGAGAGATGAGGATAGGGAGGTAGATAAAGATATATATATTTTTATATATACATATATATATATATATATATATATATTATATATATGATATTTATATATAATATTAAATGAAATTTATAATATAAATGTTGTTACATATATGTATTACATACAAATAATATAATCATATATGTATATATTAATAATTTATGTATATATACACACCTAAATGTACAAATCAGTATAAGCATATACTTATATTTTCATATACATTAATTAATTTATATCTATATATTTGTATAATTATTTATTTATTTATTTATGTATATAATACTCACGCGCACACAATATGCAGTGTGTGATTCTCCTCTTATTGATCATGTGGCAAATATCTGTCATATGAGGAAAGCTGCCTTTGCCGCGAAATATCTGATGCCTTTGTCACCAACTGTTAGAATGCTTCGCCACAACTATATGATCAGTAAGTTGGATATTCTGTAACTCCCTCTATTATGCTTTGCCAAATCATCATCTAAGGAGTTGCAAAATGTCATGAATAGAGTAGCAAGAATTAGAAAAGGCCAAACTCCACGCGAGAAGATAACGCCAGAAAGCACTGCTGTCCGATGGTTGAGGCAAGAATTGTCGATAAGATTTACCTTCTGACTTTCCAAGCTCTGAGATTTAGGAAAGCAGGGTGTGTTAGCTGCCTGTCGAGAGATTATCATGGAAATACTCCTATGGGATTTAACACAGTGAGTAATGTACAAGGTGGACGAGCCAAGAAAAAAAACTTCATTATTTATTTTAGATAATTTGTAAAACATCAAGGTATTATGATGGGCTATCACATGTCAGGAACAGTAATTACTCTTTGAAGAAGACGAAAAAGAAGAAGAAAAAAACGGAAAAAAAATAACTGTTTGGCTGACGTGTATTGGTATGGATGGTATAAGAATCAAAAATGATTTCTCGCATGTGAAGTGATCAGGGTAAGGTCTAAGAAGGCTGTCAACCTC